CTTTCCCTACCAGGGCCCCCAGCTCATCCCTGTATTTCTCTTCCCACTCTGGAAAATCTCGGCGGTGGCCAACTGTTGTTTCTGCCTTCTCCATATCCTCTCCCTTCTCCCCCCGCCCCATTCTGCTAACAGAACCTCTTCTTTTCTTCCGGAACCGTTCCCTCCTCTATCTAGAGATTGCATAGCCTTCCCCCTAAGACCCTCCCCTCCAAAAGAACCATAAGGGGCACGTGAACCAGACTGATCAACCCAATTTTTCCGTTGCTTTAGACACGGAAAATGTTTTAGGAGTAAGCCCAACATTCAAGAAAGGTGAGTCCTTTTCCAAATATGAATGCTGATTCTTTGAGAAAGAAGGTATTTATACCTCCCTGAGATCCTACATGCTAGGGTTAAGCAAGCTGTAGTGCTTGGGGTTCCCCTTTGATGTTGAAGATACAGCAGTGAATGAAACAGGTGGTATCTGCTTTCATGTAGTTTACATTTTGGGGAAGAGGGAAGACAGGCAATAAAAAGAAGTAAATATATAATGTCAGTTGATAATAAGGGCTTTGAAATAAAGGAAAGTAAGGGCACGTAGGTGTGTGTGTGCTGTTTCAGGAATGACGATCAAGGAAGCACACCTTTAAAGCAACTGGGAGCAGAGGCCTGAATTCAGTGAAGAAGCAGGTCACCTGTGGCGCTGCATGCCAGGTAGGGAAGCAGTGTAAAGGCCTGAGACAGGTGAACGCTTGGCATATTCAAGAAACAAAAGGGGAAATAGAATGGCTGGAAGACAATGAGCAAAGGGAAGAAATGAGTTCAGGGAGATATGTCTGGGACAAGATCAGGAACTATCTGACAGGCCATGTAAAGGATTAGAATTTATTCCAAGATGGAAAACCTATCAGAATGCTTTGAACTATGGAAAGCCTAGGATCTGACATAAATTCTATGGGATTTCCTCTCTCTTCTGAGTGGAAAATGGCTCTAGGGGAGCCAGGGTAGAGGCAGGGAGACCAGTAATGAGGCCATTTGCAATAATGGCTTGAATTGGGGTGAAAGCAGTGATGAAGGTAAGAAGGCCAGATTCTGGAGGGGGTGTGTGTGTGTGTGTGTGTGTGTGTGTGTGTGTGTTGCCTGTATGTGCACATAGAATTGGCAGGATTTCAAGATGTGGGGTGTGAGAGAAAGAGAGGCATCAAGGATAATTCCCAGGATCCTGGCTTGAGCAAATTGGAATAGAGTTGCCACTTACTGACATGGGGGAGACTAGGGGAAGAACCTGGTTTTGAGGTGAACTAAAGAGTGGTTTTGGGGCTTCCCTGGTGGCGCAGTGGTTGAGAGTCCGCCTGCCGATGCAGGGGACACGGGTTTGTGCCCCGTTCCGGGAAGATCCCACATGCCGCGGAGCGGCTGGTCCCGTGAGCCATGGCCGCTGAGCCTGCGTGTCCGGGGCCTGTGCTCCGCAACAGGAAAGGCCACAACAGTGAGAGTACCGCAAGAAAAAAAAAGAAAAAAAGAGTGGTTTTGTACCTTCGTTCAACAGCGACAAATATTTATTGATATTGATAATATCGTGGAGAAAAAAATTATGATAAGGAAGGGATACTGGTCAGATGGGGGCTTGCAATTTTAAATTGAATATCTAGGGAAGGTCTCACTGCAAAGGTGATATTTGAATAGGACTTGAAGTTAATGAGGAAAGATGTAGG